AGTATATGGATGCAGTTGCTTTCCACAGAGTTCAGAAGGACCTGTACTGTAGAACAGACATCAAATGAGACCTACTTACTGCTCAGTGAAATCTATGCCCCAGAGCTACACGTGCGATCATATTTAACATTAAATAGGAGAACTCCTCAAGATCCTTTTTTTTTGTTCTGCAGGACCTGAATTACAGTCTAGTTCCTTGTTTTCATTCCTTCTCTGTATCTCTAAAGACTGCAAAAGTGAAAAAGACTCATCTCCAGCCTCTTTTTCCTTATGGTTAAAGGCAGACAGACCAGAAGCCAGAGCAGGTGGATAAGGGAGGAAAGAAGTGGAAGTGCAGAAGTTAATTTTTCATTATACCCTTAGGTTTCTTACTGCATAAAACTGTATTGCACTAATCCTTTCTGTCACAGGGAGATGCTCTCGTGTTGTTAGCAAGAAAGCTAAGCTTTCTATTGAAGTGATGCATCTTGTTACAAAGATGGGAGTAGCAAGAGCAAGAAGGGGAGAATGGTTTGGTCGTTCTCCATTTTTTTAAGCACCATCTGCTAAACTGGAGATACAGAAACAGTAAGGGGCAGGAATTCTACCACTCAGAGAAACATAGTAGAAGGCTTGAAATAACAATCCTAGTAGAGAGCGTATGTCTACTGCATCCATCTTGAGAAGTCATCAACATTAGATACAAATGAAGAATTAAATGCCTCCTAACGTACATAATTGTGCAACTAAATCTTGAAAGAGTATATTCTCCTCTGGCTACATCTGAGGATTAGGAGACCTTGAACTCCACCTGTCATTCATTCTTTAAACATCCACTTCCTTTGATTTTCTAAGCTATTGGCCTCAGTTACATCCTGCAGGAAAGCACTTAATTACCAGGTCAAACAAAACATTTTGTTTTAAGCCATTCTGCCCTGGTGATATAACACTGCTGAGCACCCCTTTTGCCCTGCTCTCGAGAATGCATCATTAGCTTGCAGCTGACCTCTCACTTGCCCCATCTATTTTGAGGTCTTCTTCCCCTCAACATATTTCCCCTCCTTTCCATCTAAAAAGGCTCAGTTCTGTCCAGCTATTGAACGTGCTCTGTATGAAGCCACTAATTACTTTCAAGAGCTCACAGTTAACCCTGAATTAACTGACCAACCAAACAACCAAAGTCATGGTGAGGATGCATCCTAGTTTTATCTAAATGTGTTTTATAATGTCTTTTTCTTGGATTTAATCCACTTTAATAAAACCTGACAGTCAGTCTCTCTTGATGACTGCTGCAAGTATTTATCATATGATTCACAGTGGCACCTGAACTTTCAGTCCACTGCATAGCAAACTATGCAAAGGCAGTTTGTGGCTTTCAAGTAATGTATAATATTTACAGGTAACAGTGGTACCTTTACAGCTAACATCATCATTAGCATCCAGACACTAAATGTGTTAATTTACAGCCATACAAAATTGACTAGAGGACACAATCAGGTGGGTGCTTGGCTTGCTACTGCTGTTGTGTAATTTCAGATTGTTGCACGTAGCTGAAGTGCAAGGGAGAGGACAGGTGTTGCACTGCACTGTGGAAATTGGCATCCGCTTCTGGACTAATCTTGTCTTGGGTCATCAGCAAGTTCTGCCACCTCCCTGTGGATCGTCCTCCTGGTTGTACAGCATAGCAAATAGTACAGGCTACAAAGAGAGCTTGGAAGGACAGACTGCACTGGTATGGATATAGCACCTTACACGTTACGTCACAGTTAAGGATGTACAATTAGGAACTTGTGAGGCCTGAGTTAAATCACTTGTGGGTGGTGCTTCAGGGATTAACACTGCTTTAATGTGACAGAAGAGCTGATTTGTTTGGGGATAAGAACCCATTCTCTGCCACCAAAATAGCACTGCTTATACGAATGTGTAGCACAGCAATACTGCAACAAAAAAACCCCGGTAGAGCTAAGTTCCATCATGTTTCTAACAACTTCACATGAAAGAATAAACCCAGTTCTAACTAAATTAAACATGTAGTATTTCTGAAAGTTTATCTCCTTGTCAGTGCTGTCGTAAAACAAAACTCAGCTTCTCTTGAGGATACTCGCACTTCCAAGCTCAGTTTTTACTTCCCCTAGATCCACACATCCAGATCACTTCAAGGCTATGCTGTTCTGATCTGTGGCAACTTCACTGTTTCTAGGCCTCAAAGCAATATCTGACAACACTCCAGATTTCTGACAAGCAATACACTGCTTAATCAGTAGTACAACACTCTATTGGAAAGGAGTGTAGGAAAAGTCAAAGCTGAAAGCAGGCAGAAAGGCCCAAGCCCTTTGGGGAATGCTGGCCTAGGTGGTGCTGTTAAATACTGCAGCTATCCAAAGAACCAGAACAGAAGCAAAGCTCTGGGCTTAGGGAGGGGAACTACTTTCCTAGGAGGCTCTGGGCTGAACCGTTAGGAAGGCAGCTGCAATCTCCTCGAGCAGGGCTTCCAATCAGCAAGAATGCGTCTGTAACTCCAGCACTAACACTACAGTGAGGAAGGAGCAAGGATCTTGTGGAAAAGAAAAATGCTTGTAAAACCTGTTCACATCATTAAACCCTTCTTTAACTATTTACTCTTAAAACTTGTACCTCAGTGACTGAAGCGCCTTCTGCAAGCTTTCACAGTAGCAGTCACTAGAGAGAGAAGGCTCATGAAGGGCGGTCTCAAAGTTCAGGCTTCCCACCAGCCCCTGCCTGGTCAGATGAGGTCTCTGTGCCTGTTTTCATATGGCAATGGTGTAGGCATATCATCATTGCTGATGACCCACTCAACAACAAAAAGACTTAGAGCAACAGTTCACCAGCATCACAGTGGGTAAAGAAAATCATCATCCCACTGTTTACTCCCTTAGAGACAATGAAATACTTTGAAATAGGCAGGACTAAACACACAGGATGTGGTTTCTGCAGATGAAAAGTCTTTGTATGATCAATAAATGAGACTGAGCAAATTCAGCCCTCTCTTACAAGAGCAATGTTAAACAAAGTGTTCATAATGGCAAAACAAGGAGTTTCTGCACAAGATGCAGAATGTGATGGCGGCCATCCCATTCCAGCATCACATCCAGCCTCAGCTGTGCAGGTCTTGCATGGGTTGAAGGCTTCTGTGCAGACAGGGAAGAAGTGCTGTCAACAAAATGCTTCACTTACTTGCTGTCAACAGAAATAAATTGATAGTGAATCTGCTGACCCCACTCACTCCATGTCTTCCTGCAGCAAACTCCCACCAACATTCACATCTTTTTTTTTTTTTTTCCCCTTTTTTGTAAAAATACTTGTTTCAGTGAATTAAGATGGACACCTCTCCCAGAAACAGGCAGGTGAATCCTCTGGGACCCATGGGATCCAGCTCTGGGACTGGCCCACTAGGAAGTAGGTGGGAAGATCGGCACTCTGTTCTGCTCCCACTCCCTTGTCTCCTTTGTCAGAATCACTGCCGGTATATCCAGGTCTCAGTTCTGGCCAGCAAGAAATCTCTGGAGCTAGGCACAGCTCTTTTCACACCCGGATCTGGTACCCATTGAGGTCTGGCATGGCTTTGGAATCAGCAGGCTTCTTCTCACCAGATGGCCTGTAAGCAGAGAGGGTAAGTGCTATTCTGAAACTTTTTTCCGTTCAGGAGGTGCTGCACATAGACATGGCAGCACATGAAAAGGTACAGGAAAGCTTCAGACTTATCCTACACTACTGAGGGCAGGATTATTCTACAACCTCCAGTAACTCTCCCAGTGATCTCCACAGAAGATAATTCAGGTTAGGAAGAGGAGGAAGCCCAGTCTGGTGCCCCATATCAGTTTCAGGAAAGCAGTCTCACTGACAGCAGTGTAATTATTGGAATCTCTTTCCTTAGGGCACAGGTCTATGAAATGCCAGAGCTCAGACCCCTGCATAAGGTTAAATAACTGCTATCAAGATCACTGTCTGTTTCAGCTGCCTTCCTCCTCCCTGCCAAAACAAACAAACAAAAAAACCCTAGCTGTTTCCCCACTCCCCAGTCAATGATAAACTCATAAAGGCACAGACTAGGGAAGAATGCTATTGCAGGTCAGATAAGTAGCGCCTGTTATGAAGAACCCCAGTAAGACATTAGAAGGATCCAAAACCTGACAGCAATGTGTAGGTCTGTGACTAAAATGGAGATGCTCTATATGGGTTTCCTACCCAGCAGCTGCACTCACCGACGGTCCCCACGGCTGTTGCGCCTATGGGGGCTAGCCTGACCTCTTTGTGGGGAGGAGACATCTTTCTTTCTGTCCTTGGTGGGAGATGGTGGCCCAGTTCCTTTGCCAATCTGCCAGAAAAATTAAAGTAAGAGCAACGTGAGCAGACAACCAATATGAGTAGTAACCAGAAAACACAAAGCCTAACAGTGATTAATTATATGGGAATTAAAGACAAAAAGGCAAGGCAAGCACATAAAAAAATGCAAAAGCCAGAAAAAAATTACTAATAGCGACAGCTATGTCTTCAAGTACTGTATACAGTCCAAGCTAATTACAACTGCAGTACTGCATGATCATCCATTAGGGAACCAGCCTGTATACCGGAGTCCTCAGCCTCCAATTCACCCTCGAGCACCATTAGGAGAGTGTCATGGTTACTACTTCATTCCTGCAGTACACCATCAGCTAGGCAAGACAGCAGATGCAGCAGCAAACTGCTTCTCCACCCTTGCTGCTTACCTTCAGCCTCATATCACGGGCATGTCTCTCAAGCTCTTTGCGGAAGTCTTCCCGGGTTAGCTTGTCTAGATCCAAGATGGAATGCTTCCACTCAATCTGCTCCACACTGTGTGGGTCATGGGACACACAGTGGCCCAGTTTCACCTTTTTGAGAGTGTGCCAGCAGCGGCGATATGCCTCCTCAAAGTCAAAGATGAGTTCACTCAGTGTGCGGAAGACAGGTGCTTTGTACATGAGCTCCTCACGTCGGCTGATGCCCAGTGCCCCGTAGCGGCCTCCGAAGTTCACCCCCAGCACAATGTGTCGGAAGTAGTTCCCTGAGAAGTGGGTTTTGAAGCTAATGGGGAAACGGTCCAGCGTGGTCATGTTGTTGGTGAGGTAACTGACAGCAGCTGCTATTGAGGAAACAACTAGTGATACCATTTTCTTGACAAGATACTTCCTTCCTCCTCCAGATCCTCCCAGCCTGCTCAGCAGACTTGCCACTGATTCAGGCATCGGATAGGCAAGATTTGTTCTCCAGGTCAAAGGTCCAACCTATTGCAAGCTGCCCCACTTTCATCTGGGTCACGGGGAAATCAGACTTGGCCTCCTCAACAAAACCTTCAACAAAGGGAAGTTAATTTCAAGGCATATTTGTGAAGCAGAAGTTAAAGTGCTAACACCTCAAGCGTATGTATTCCATAGCTCCCAAACTGTAATAATAATGCTACAGCATTGTTATTACAGCATTATTCCTCAGATTGTTTTAATCTGTTTCACTAGCTGCTATTTCACACACAAACCAAGGACCTTAAGGACAAAATACTCATCAGACTACCCTTCTGAACCATTTGCTTGCCACCTGTGCCGTTCCAGGTGGCTCTGTCAATGTGCATCGAGAACTTACAGCCTGAGTGACATAGACTAAGCCTGGAAGATAGCGAGGAAAGATGTGTACTTAGAGATGACATGTCTAGAATTAATAAAGGTATTGCCTAAGCTGGCAGGCAGTGTTCGACATAATAGGAAAGTGACATACATCATAATTAGAAGTTGTGGAGGATTGCTAACTTTTTAAATGTAGAACACATGCAGGCAACATTGCATTAAGGGAACAATGTTAGTCCACAAAGGACTTCCTGACCTAACTTTAGCTAGTATTTTTGCCCCTCTTTAGATGTTTCTTCCTTTATCTTTTTCTCACATACAGAATTGTCCAGAGCAACATCAGCCTTCTTGGTGAAGGAAGAGCAACTTCGAAGAACTAGTTCTGGTATTTCAGAGAATTGCTTGGATTTGGATTTTTTTGGTGGTTTTCTGGGAGAACTGGGTAGGGAAAACAGAGGGATGTGGGGCTTGGCAGCAATATTGTCAGCAGCCTGAAAGCATAAGGGAACAGAGGAGAAAACACAAAGATGGACAGACAAGCACAATTCCACGAGGAAAGGATACATTCCCAGGATCACAGCTTCCAGGCATTTTATTGGCAGGGCCTCTTTGGTCATTTCTTTGGCCAGGTCCATCAGCCTGCAAAGTGGAACAGGGGAAAGACAAGGACAGTCAGAGGGCTTGTGCTATGCAAATGTGGCTAGTTTAGCCCTTTTGCACAATATATGTGAAGTAGGTTTCCAGCAGAGAAGGCCCACTGAGGACAGGGAACAGAAGAAAGTATCTTCTTTAAGAAGGTACTAAATCCAAACCAGGTCTCTACCACATGCTGTTGCTGCTCACAAGGAACTTGACAAGTTACAGCAAAGCTGCCTACTTGGCCTACCTCTGTTTGAGTGAGACCACAGCACTTGGCTCAGTGAGTTCTGGATGGACACCTGTGTGGCCACAAGCAAAAGCCTCAAAGGACCAAAGGCCAGCAGTGTTTGCCTCACAAGGTTCAAGGACAGTAAAGCCCTATTCCCTGGCATCAACTCTACTCTCCATTCAACAAATACTGTGGAGGAGCCATTGCACTGGTTAAAACACGGGACATCTAGGGTCATGTAAGTCTGTGGACGAGACCAGTGGTAAGAAGCCAGTCTTGGGAGGCTTTCAGTATGCGGGGCAGGAGAGTCAATTAACATCAGGTGCTTATCTCCTTAACTTACAGAGCGCAGCTCTTCCCAAAATTTGCTGTCAGGAGAATCCCCCTTCTCCTTCAAAGTATGAGACATCAAAGCTTAGTAAGAGTAGATTCTGCAAAGGCACTCACAGGAGCTATGAAATTAGACCTGTAAAGATACTTGGCTTTTATGAAGCTTGTTTAGGGCAGGACCTAATTTCAGAATCCATCAGAAGTTTATATAGTTATATCTTCTATATGTATAGTTCATATAGTTAGAAACAAGCAGAATCTGCACACCTGGAAATACATTTACGTTATTTGATTTACTGACTCACGACAATAAAATCTACTCTTGTCCCTGAGAAAGGCCAGACACAGTTCTGCCCAGCCATGCCCCAGGCAACAGACAATACAGTCACCTAAAGCAGGATGGAGCTGCAGTACTGAAAGCCCTAAGAGCCACCCTGACCTTGATCAGGGAATGGAAGGAAAAGCAGTGGGCCCCAATATTGTAAAGCAAGGATTAAATGCTGTAGGGACTGCCAGCACTCACCCAGTCAGAGGTCTGCTCTTCTTAATCTCAAAGAATTGTGTCCCAGTGTGATTGTACCTGGAGGCAAGAAGTTAAAGGCTTGACAGCTTGGAAAACAGAGTTTGAAGAAAACCTGTCTGAAGAACTTTCATGTTACTTACTATTCTCACAGCAAAGTCATGATCCCACAAATATAAGAGCAACACAAGAAAGACCCCATCTCCCTCTCATGCATTTCTCCCATTTATAGTCCTTCCTAACTTCCACTGTATTTCCTTCTTGTCAATTCTTCTCTTTCTCTTGCCCACACACATTTCCACTCCATTTCCCAAAGTTCAGTGCTGACAGCAAATGCTCTGCTCAGCCTTCCAGTTACCAGGACAGAACATAGTTAGATAGATCTCTGCCTGCTCTGGTCTACCTTATTCTAAGACTGACAAGGACCCAATCCAGCACACAATCACCTTAGATGGGTGAGAGGTGTCAAAAGGTCTGCCTCCTTACTATTTTTTTTAGGGCTGAAGCCAGAGCTAGCTCTGTATCTCATCAGTGAGATTAGACTGTGCGTGCATCACACATACCTGCTGTCCAGCACAATAGGGATGGATAAATCTTATTCCCAGGACACAGTGACACCAGCAGCTTTGCATATGAAGGGGCAGAATACCACAGATGCACAAAAGCAGGGCAGCTGTCTAACTTTTAAACAGCTACAGTGAAGAGTGTTCAAGTGGGATGACCTGAGAAGCAGTTATTCTTAACACCACAGCTCACCTATACCTTACCAGTGAGGTGACGCAGTTTGTAGTCTAAGACTTGGCTGTCAGGGTTGCAGGTGTGAGTGTTTCTAATAAAATGGCCACTGACCTAGAAGCATGGGGAGTAGGAAAAGGCCCTTGACAACATGCCTGTTTGTCACATGGAGTGAACAGGATTAGAAAATAACTTGGGCAGACCCAAAGCAGTTAAACAAACCACCATCCCAAGCCCAGCTTCCTGTTTTCAGGGAGCAAGTTTCAGTTCTCCTCCAACTACATCAGAACAAGCTCTTCTGCTCCCTCTTTCTGGGTTATCACACCAGTGACTAACATAACAGTAAAGGATACTGAAGCTCCCTGATGTAGCGCTGTACAGCTTCCAGGCGCTCAGGGATGGGGGTGGATGGCTGGAACGTAGGCACACTTGGTATGGGAATCTGAAATGGGGAGCAAAATGTAAATCACTGCTTCCTAACCTCTCCAGCTTCTTGCTGAACTCAGTGGCAGATAACTACAGGGAGTGTGTTCTCTGAAACCAGCCTCTTTTTGCTGTCCGAAGTGATTGCACCAGAACATTCCACTGTTTCCACATTGACAACTGGAAAGGGATTCAGAATGAAGCACCACCACAGAGCTGCAAGAGAAACTGTATGAAAGAGTCCTGCATTTAGGCAACATTACATTGGAAGAATGAGATAAAATTAACTGACAAGGCAAGATGCAAGACAGGGAAGTTATCACCCGAAGGAGCTTGGCCTCATTCAAATATGCAAACTGGAAGGCACAAAACAAAAGTAAGATGAGAGAGGGAGGTAAAAATGGAGAATGAGTTTTCCCAAAGCCACTGGATCATAGAGCAGTCTTGTAAGCAAGGATATAAAGGTCCCTCACTGCCGGTGAGTTGGCACTGACTAGGACACAGGCTTGACAGCATCATGAATCCCCCCTGCAGTGTCTGTTGTTTTGAATTATGTGGTCAGAGAATGACTTCCAAAAGCTCACGATTTGGACTGCTGTGCCATTCTGAGGCCTCAGCCTTATGGGTCCAGTCAGATTTTCCTCACCATTTGCTCCACAGGGACAACTGCAGCCTTGTCAGCAGCTGAGAAAATGTGTCTAGGGGAAGAGAAGTGTCCTGTCCACAGGACAAATACAATGGAGAAGACACAGATTTGGTGTTGATTGACAGACTTGGAGAAACAGCCTAGCATTTTGTCTCTGAAGGTTAGCTTATGCCTTGGACATACCTCCCTGATACCAGACTGCAGGTTTTCACAGCAGTTTGGTTTTCAGCATTTCAGTTCCTCTTCAGATTTCCCCCTAAAGATGGGCTATCCCCAACTAGGAAAGAGCTAGTCAGAACCAGATCTTCCCTTGGGCTTTCTGCTTCGCTGTAACTGCCTCTGCTGACCATGGCTTTGTAGCCACTTCTCACCCTCCACCTGTATTTCTGTGGCCACTCATTTCCATACCTCCTTCTGCTCTGGGTTGGCATAGGTGACTGGTGAACCAGGTCCAGACCTCAACCAGCTGAAAGCTGAGCTAGCAAGCATGGGTAGTTTTCAGTCAGATCACTTCCCTCTCCTGGTTTGCCACATGGTTGCGCTCTGCTTTTGCCTGCACAGTACAGAGGCCAGAGACTTCTTAACCTGGAGAGATGGGCTGTTGCTGCCTCTGAAAACCATAATCTGCGTTTTTAAGCCTAGCTCCAAACACCACCATCAAGTAAATGCTGAACTAAACTCAATCTCCACCCATTTTCTCTCCATGTTTTTTCATCAGTCTCTCTTTTTTTTTTTAAATTTTTTTTTTTTTTTTAAATCTAAGTAGCATCATTTGGCCACTGGTACCCATTTTCATAGTACCTCTTGGAGGTCTGCCAGTTACCATCTCCAGTGCCTCATTGATATACCCTGCTTGGAGCAAGCAGTGGCACTTCCTGGCTCACTTGCAGGAAACAACACATGAACGGCAGGAGCAGATGTGAAACTGGGTTTCTTCAGCCACAGCAGGAGCAGGGAAGGCTCCAGAGGGCAGATCACGGATGGAGGCATCTCTGGAACCACAAGAGCTGAGTCAGTTTGGATGCTGTGAGCTGACACAGAGTCACAGGAAATAATTTCCAAGCAGAAACAATGAAAGAGGTAACAAGCAGGAGAGGCTCACTATTTAACTTGGCTCCATTTCTTCAGCACAGACACTTCCATGCTTTCTGAGTGGAGACTGGCAGGTTAAGTGCACATTGATGGCACAGATTAATGACTGGATAGATACTTCTCCCTTTACTAGTTGTGCAGACCCCCATATCCCCTTTTCCTCAAAGGGCAGTGCCACACTGGACAGTGGAATGGCAACCAGTTCAGCAGGGGACTAGTTAATGCAGAAGAGCCTCCTGCACCTCAAGTAATTAAATTGATGAAAGTACAGTGTGCTCCCTCTCTCTGGGATCTGGGCCTGCAGCCCAGACTGGGCTACAGTTTCTTTTGCATCAGGTCTATAGCATTTTAATGGGGCAATAGAAACAGGAGGAGAGAAATAAGGTCTCCATCCCCACACTGACAGGATGGAAGACCCTAACATTTTGTCCTTATGCAGTATCCACATTTCAGAAGGGCTACAAATACTAGGCAGTCTTCACAATCCTCCAGAAAGCAGAGAGGAATTTATTTGTAGAAGAAAAGATAAGAAGTCAGATCTATTTTGTTTCCCTTTTAGTTATTCAGGAAGCTGGAGGGACAGCTAGGAAGAGAGCCCAGATTTCCCAGAGTGCATACCTCTGCCAGGCTTAGCAAACTGACTGAACATGCCCCTGTGGTCCCTCATCACTTGTATGGAGGGCTTGCATCATGCCGCTCCTAGATTTATGCACCCCAGGAGGCTGGCTATATGCGTGGGACTGGGACTGCGTTTTAAGAAAGGGGATCCTGAGAACAACAGAGGGCCATGCTATATATGTGGCAAGGCAGATGGGAGCAAGGCACAGAAAAAGCTCCACCCTTATCTGTATGACAAAGGTGATCTTTTGGCTAGCCTAGTGTAGCAACACTTTATTTTATGGTGTGTACATGTATCCAAGCACCTCCCTAATCATCCTTTTGCAAGCAACATAAGAGCAATACAAATCCCAATTGTTAGCCTGACTAAATAAACTGGATTTTACTCCCCTCTTCAAGCATGAATCCATTAGATGCAACTCCTCCTGTCTTTGTCCTCATAACCACCTCATTTAAAATCCATAATTTCTTAATGAGGCAAGCACACATCAGTTTGTATTTTCACTGTGGACCCATCTGATGGTCCCAGTAGCTCCAAGCAAAGCAATACCCCATCCTGTTGCTAGAAAAGGAACAGCCTGCAGGAGGGTGGCTCTTAAGCCCAGTGTGCATGGCCAATCAACAATGTCCTGCCACCATGGCATGGCTCACTCGATGCCCACTCACCCCAAATCTACTGGAAGGAAACAGAAACCAGAAGAGATCTCTGAGCTCTCACCCCCCAGTGAAAGATACGGCCCCTGCAGCTGCTCTGTGAACATCTGAAGTCTGATCACAGCCTCCTGCAGTTGTCATTTTATGGTATTAAGTTTATTAATGCCAACTGTTTTTGAAAGTTATTTCCCCCCAAACCCAATGCTGGCTACCGTTTAAAGCCAAAAATATCACAGTTGGTGAACCCCTGTCCAGTTTTCAACACCTAAAAAAGGCCTGTTCACCCTCCAGCACATGGAGCATACCTGCCTTTTCAAAGGAGCTAATCCTGCTAATCCTGCAGAGTACACCCATTGCCCTAATTCTCATCTGTTGCATCAGCCATTCAAAGAAACTTGATGGAGGCAGGTGGTGATATAAGCAGTCCTCAAAGATAAAAACACATCCCTAGAGGGGAAGAGGAGCTAGGGAAACAAAGCCCATCCATCCTTGCTGCTTCCTGCATCCCAGCATCCTCTCAGCTGTGTGCCCAATAAGCATGTGAATGGGACCCCAAATTGCAGAGCAGTGAGTAGTTTATATATCTGGGTTCCAGGGTGCTAGCGGATGCCAAATAAACGGATAGCCCAATTTCACCTGTTATTGCAAGAGCTTATACCACCTATGTCCCTTGACTGTAACCCTTTGGCATCAAGACTACAAAGTGAGAACAGTGGAAGAACATTAAGACCAAAACCAGAGACTGAACACTGTATTTCCCTCTCCTCATGTACTGGGCTTTTGTTTGTGAACCTTTTTCTGCCATTTCCTTTGCCTCTCCTCATCAAATCAGCCCATTTGGTCAGGAAATTGAGTAGTGTGCGTTCTGACTGATTTGAAACGTTTTCAGCCTTCACACAGGCTCAGGACAAAGTCAAGAGGAAGGAAATCTAAAAAGGAAGGAAAAGTCCAGTAGGGTTAGAACAGGGATTGTAATCAGGACTCAGGATTCATTCTGGTTGCTGCCACAGGTGCCTATAACTCTTCACTCCACAAAGGATGTTGCATCACATGTTTCTCCAGTTACTGCTGGAAAGCAGTGCAGAGTGCCTGTGCACTATATAAAAGCATGTTCTTGTATACTTTCAGTTACCTTCCCAGGGAGGTAAAGTCCTTACTAAAACAGTCTGAGCATAAAAAAATTACGGTTTTACATCTGAGTTTCCTCTGATAGTGTGATGGGAATACTCTCCTAACCCACCACTGGAGTGACAAACCGAATGTTTGCAGTGTCTTTTGTTCACAGGATACCAAGGAAAGGGGGAGATTTTTCTCCAGCTGAGGTGCAACAGAGATAGATAGCAACAATCACAAGAATTCACATGCTACTCTTTCAGTAGGGAACAAGGTTAAGTGAAATGATCACCAGTCCCTCTTTTCACAGAGTTCTCCTGCAAGGCCAATAACACGCTCAAAATCACATCTGACTACACACCAGCAACAAGCTCTGCTAGCGTTTACTAACACCCCTTTAAACTCTCTGGCGTCAAGAGTCTCTTTTCTGACACACCGTTCTGTGCAAGAATGGCTTTCAGTGTGGGAGACCGTACCCAAATCTAATTTCTTCATGTTTAAAGACTCACCTCTGCCTATCTCCCTCACCCTCCCACCACAAGTATTCGGACTTTTCTAAATTTAATTCTCTCATCCTTTCATCATTTACCCAGTCTTCCTCTTAAGCACAATCCACCACATGAGCCACCTGAAATCTGTTTTCCAGCGAGACCTCAGAAGAGGCTACTGCTGGCCGCCACGGAAGGGCAGAGCCCCGCAGCACCCTCCATCACTCCCAGTTACAGCGAGGCTTTGCTTCCAGCAAGCACACCCCGAGGCCCTTTTCCCGAGGGATCGCTCCCGAGCTCGGGGGCCCGGCCTCAGAGAGGGGGAGGCGACCGGCTCCTCCCAGCTGGATGCCGCCTTAGCTCGGTGGGGACGGGGTATCTCACCTTGGGCAGGTCGGCAGCTCCCCGGATCCTCTGCGCCACCCGCTCCCCCTCGGGGTGGATCCTGCCCACATGCCGCCACATCCGCTCCCAGGTGGGCTCGTCCACGGGCAGCCCGCCGCGGTTGACGAAGAAGGGGACGCCGCCGTCGCGGAGATCCTCCTCGCCCTCCTCCTCCTGCTGCTCCTCGTCCCGCGGCGCTGCCGCCGCCTCGCCGGACTGGGGGTGCCTAGCGGCGGCCGCGGCCCCTCCAACCCCCGGCATCGCTGCCGCCCGGTCTCAACGCCCCCCGCCCGCTGCCGGGCAGCTGGGGGCCGCGCCCCGCATGACCGGCAACCGGGCACAGGGCGTCACCGCCCCTGCCGCGCCCCCGGGGATATCAAGGCGGAGGGCTTTCGGGGAAAACGGGAGCGCAAGCCAGGCGGGGCGGCGCCGGGTGCCGCATCAGGCCGCCGCGGCGGGGGAGGCGCCGGCGGCCCAACCGCCCGCGGCAGTGACGGCGGGCACCGCGCGGGGCGGGCCTGCCGCCGGGGTGTCCCCACCGCGCCGCCTCCCGAGCGCTCCGCGGGGCGGGGGGCCGGGCGGGGATAGCAGCCGCCGCGGAGGATGCTGCATGCGGGGTAACAAAGCCCCCGCGCGGGGCGGTGCCGCGATGGGCCGGGCCAGGCGAGGCACCGCTCCCCGCCTCTCTGCTCCGCCCTGGGCCGGGCAGCGTAGGGTCTCGGAGACCCCGGGTCGCGGCGAGAGCCTACCGCGGTGCCCAGATCCGGCTTGCTGGTGGCAGGGAGCCGGGGCGGGCGCCTAGGGGTGCTGCGGCCCGCGGGCAATAAGGGGAGGCGGGGCGGGAAGGCGGGAGCGGGCTGTTTTGGGGAGCATGGGGGTGGGGCCACGGCGCAGCCGTTTAACGGTCGGCGTGAGGGGCCGCGCGGGGCTGTACGTGGAGCCGTTAGTGCGTGTACGGGCGCGGTGTTTGCCGGCCGTGGTCTGTGCTGCGGCTTGAGGTGGGCAGGGCCGGGCTGGGGGGCCCTGGGAGGTAAAAGCACCGCTGGGAGCGGGGGCAGGTTTCTGTGTAGAGTCTTCTTTGAGGAGCAGAAGAACTACCATAAAGTTGCCAGGTAGAAAGCAGTGAGTGACAGAGGCGGTGTTCGGGATGTTCCTGTTTTAATTTACCGAGTGCCGCAAAGTAATCACGGAGGATGGTCTTTCCCCAAGTGGGAGCCACATTGCTGATCTTGGGGTGGGTCTCCTTCATGAGAGGGCCCAGCAAGGCTCTTTTGCCTGGGAAGAGACAAAATGCACCTTTATATCAAGTCTGGAGGTGCACCGCAAGTGAAAGACTGTGGTCTGGTTGTCTATTGCAGCCCTCCTGTGGTACTGTGAAGTGTGCAGCTGTGATGGGAT